GACAAACACACATCCCTCTCTGTCCCTCGCACACAATTTTTCATATTACACTACAGACGTGTCTGTTACAAGAACATGACTCAGGAGTTATCATTCACCATTCACCATAACAAAACATTTTTTCCTGGGCTTCTCCAATCCTGACACATTAGGTGAGTGGAAAAGATATATCTGTTTTGTGCAAGCAGTCTGCGTTTGCCTCTAGGGATAAAAGCAACTCACAACACACCTGCATGAATTTGCTATCAGCTGTTGTAACGTCGCTACAGAGCAGAGGTGAGCACTTCTGCTTTACAGCACGTTGCTTCAAGTCTTGTCTGGTCCTGTTATAGGTAGGAAAAATGGAAACCACAAGTGATCTTACCACAGGCTTGTCCTTATACTTATCCAATAGCCCAAAAAAATGTTACTGAAGTTCATTACGGTGTTCTGTGCAGAAGTGCCTGCTGAAAATTGTAAAGTTAAGCTACAAACCGCAAGCTTTTATGTGCTTGTGTGTCATCTCTACTCCTTAAGACAACAGTACAGAAAAACATCTCTTTGTCAGCTCATCTAGAAAATACCAGCCAAGTCCTATCCATATGACATTAAATAGAGGTGTCACAGGCTACCTTTGAGACTTAATTACTGCCTGTTTAATTAGTACATGTAGGGCTCCTCTGTGGGCAGCAACCCTTTGCATTAGAGGTAGAGTGTAGAAGGAGAAGTTGGTATTTATACAAGCAGTATGAGCCTTTATTACTGCCCGGTTTTGCTTTTCCTCATGCTGCAGACAGCCAGGCAAACCAGCAGCATATGTGCTGTTGAACTTCCCTGTCTGAAACGTTCTGCAAACCACTGGGATCTCAAGGTGCTCACACAGTTCTTTCATGTTATTTTCCTCTGTGTGTTATACTCACTATTTTCCCCTGTTTGGAAGTACCAGTGAGACTGTGTGTCAGCTTCAATCACAATCCCTTCCTCAGCCCCCTAATTATATATGGTACAGGTACACATCTAGTTAGGTACAAAACACATGTCCTCATGCCTGCCCTGCTGCCCCTTCCAACTGCTGACATGTTCTTTCAATGTATATGTGAAAAACAAGAGTGCTGGAAAACAACCTCTTGAGAAAACACTGATGATTGTTCTCCAGCCTTGGCCTACTCCGCCAGGAACAGTCAGCTCTTTTTTGGGGACAGAAACATCAGCTGGACACATACAAACTGACTGGGGATTTGTTCTGGGTCATTCTGCTTCAGAAACAAAATGAGAATTCACAGGGAGCTTGTGTTTATCTACAGATTAATTGCTCCCCTTTTCAAGGCAATACTTCTCTGTGCTTGTGATCGGGGTAGATTTGTTAAGATTTGCCAAACTGCAGTGGCTGGGTGTAGTTTAGTGTAGTTTTTTTTACACCACCTTCTCTACTCTGGAGAAAACAAATGCTAATACACACGTGACAAGAACGTTAGGGTGACAAGAGTAGTGTAACAGCTAACCTTACACGAGCACGTGCCTTTGCATGCCTGTAGCTCCTGAGCAACGACCATGAAGTAGCAGCTTCTGCTTCTCCAAACTGCCCTGATTTTCCTGTTTGATCCAAGCAGAATACAGGTAAAATTGAGAGAAAGTTTACTCTGTAAAACAGAATTACAGAGCATGCAGAGGGCTGGTTCTGCATTCTAGGCCACAGCACGTTCCAATAAACTTCCATCAGTAAACCACTCTTTACACCACCCCATTTCTGTGGCTCTAGAAATAAATTTACAATGGCTATTTGGCATGGTTCTGGTTTTTTTATCCCCTCTTTCAGAATAGCAGCGTTATCACACAGCATCCTGATGAAGTTCTCTGTAAGCAAAGTGTGTTTCCTGTTTAAAGTCAATCCCAGCTATGGATTTCAAACATCCCAGGATGCTCAGCTGAATTTGGCTGTGAGGAATTTGCACAAACCATGACAAACACGAGAGGTGTTCTCAAAACTCAAACTGTGAAGTTTAATCAACCCTATTGTGCTGGTACCTAAACACATCTGGAGCTGCAGCTGGTGAAATGAAGAGCCCAGCTTCACTTTGTGTATTACAAGCAGGCCAGAATTTCACAATAGCTTTGTATAACCCCTTTGTGCAGATACCCAAGGGCTAAGGGGGCTGATTAGTCTCAAATACCACTCAGAACAGACAGCCATTATAGAACACTGTCTTTCATAACACACCAGCAGATTTCTCATGAGGATGGTCTCAGCTCAGTTTGCAGGCAGATTTTTAACTACCATCTTACCCCAGGGTGAAAAGGAAAAGCTGTGGTTCTGTACCATCGCTCTCATGTAATCCAAATCTGGGGGGGGAACATTATTTACGTGAAATTCTTTCTCCTGAGAGCACAAAACCTGCCACTGACCCTGACATAAGTAGGAACAAAGCCATGGAAACCAGGGGAAGTTACACAAGGGTGCAAAACTGTTTACGGAGCCAGATCACACACTGGACCCAATGTTGCCTCGTGCGCAGTAGGTGGGTCTTTCAGCATTTGCGTGGGAGCTCTCCAAGGAGACCCAGAGGAGGACAAGGCTACAACCTTCTGGTTTTCATAACAGCATCTCCCTCCAGTTGGGTGGAGACATGGGCGGAGTTGGAGGGAACTAAAATCAACACTGACACGCAGCAGCACCTTGGGAGTACGTGCAGCCTCAGGAGGACAGACTGCAATAGCTGGAAGGGTAAGGACAGCTTCACACATAAGTAAGTCTGACTTTCTCCGCTTTCTTAATACAATGAGCGGTTTGTGGATCAGCATCTTGCGGCTACGCTTACTCGTGGCATCAGTGTAACCTGTGAAGAGGCTTGTTATGCTCTT